TGAGCTGAACAGCAATACCACCACGGACCCTTCCATCGTGGAGATGACAGAAAAGGCCATTCGCATTCTGCGCAGGAACCCCAACGGCTTCTTCCTCTTTGTGGAAGATGAGTAGCCCCAGGCGGGCAGCGTGGCTGGGGCTGGGGGGGGATGTGGGTGAGTGGAGCGGGTGGGCATCCCAGGGCATGAGGGAGAGGGTGACGGCTGTGGTCCCCATGCAGGTGGCAGGATTGACCACGGCCACCACAGTGGCCGGGCCAAGCAGGCACTGATGGAAACCATCATGCTGGACCGGGCGGTGGCACGGGCAGGCGAACTCACATCCACCTCCGACACCTTGACCGTGGTGACAGCCGATCACTCTCACGTCTTCACCTTTGGGGGCAACACACTGCGTGGCAATTCCATCTTTGGTGGGTCTTGAGGAGGGGCGTTGAGCATCGCTGTTCCCGTCTCCCCCTTTTGCTCCCACCAGGGAGCTGGGGAGAGGTCCCTGGCTGGGACAGGGGGTGACAATGAATTTCCCTGTGCCAGGGCTGGCCCCCAAGAAAGCCAAGGACAAGCGAGCCTACACCAGCATCCTCTATGGCAATGGTCCTGGCTACAGCATCCGTGATGGAGGCCGCCCAGCCGCAAGCCTCCCTGCCACAGGTAGGAGTCTGCTCAGGGTGGGATGGGGGTGCAGGGTGGCTGGGGGCAGCATCCCACAGGCATGGCCACCAGGGCTGCATGGGGTCCCAGTGCCACCACGTGGCTCAGGAGTCACTTGGGCAGGAATCGCCGTGACGCTGGGGTGATGGGAGCTGCCCCCCACATCCCTGCGATGGGTAGGGGACCCTGCTGCCCCTAATCCCATTTCTCCTGCCTCCCTGCAGAGGACAAGGACTACAGGCAGCAGGCAGCTGTGCCCCTGGAGACGGAGACCCACAGCGGGGAGGACGTGGTGGTGCTGGCCCAGGGCCCCATGGCCCACCTCTTCCATGGGGTGCAGGAGCAGCATTATATCGCCCACGCCATGGCCTACGCCGCCTGCCTCGAGCCCTACGCTGCTGAGCCCAGATGTGGGTCAGCCCGCAGGGCATCCCATGGCACCCAGTGCTCCCCACAGCCCCTGCTCGCCCTCCTGGCCCTCTTCGTGGCTGCCTATGTGGTGGGGGGATGACAGCCCCCGGCCAAGCCCCGCTTCAACCCGGGATGCCCAGTCCCCCCATGAGCTGCCCCCAGCTGCCCCATCAAGGGTCTTGGCAGCTGGGTCCTCACTGTGGGCAGGATCAAGGGATACAATAAAACACAAGTTGTTCGTCTCCATGTGCCATGCGAGGGTTTGCAGCGGTGGTCACCTCCTAAGGTGCTGCCCCATGCCTCCATTTCCCCAGGTGGTCATGGCTCCTTGTCCTCCCCCCAGGACCAGCACTGGAGGCATTGGGGTGAGGGAGGTGATGAAATGAGGGTGAGGGGCGGCCATGTCCACCCCAGCTTTGCCAGGCTGGGGCACAGTACACAAGGGCTGGTACCTTCCCAGCAACGGCTGAGCAAAGAGTGGTGTTTTAGTCCAGATTGGTGGATTTATTGCTCAAGAAAGTGCTGGGCAAAGAGCAGGACTGTTTGGTGCATGAGTGACCCCAAGTGCTCCCAATACCCTTGTTGCCTCGGGTCTGATGCTCAGCACTGCTGGTGGCACCGTGAGACAGAGCGTCCCCCCGCTGGCACCACGGCACCACAGCCGGGGCGGGCAACGACGCCTGCCAGCTACTGCCCATCACCTCATGCCCTGCATCCGCACCCTAAGTCTTCCCCAGCAGTGATAAGGTGGTGTGTCAAGGAGGTGCCGGCAGCCCATCCCCATGGCCTTTGTGCCGGCTGCCCGGCAGGACGCCAGGCTATCGGAGATGTGCCGAACCCCTCCACGCAACCCATAAGGGCTGATCCTTGTCCAAAGTCCCTCCCCAGATCTGCTAAGAGTAGCAGACACTGCCGGCCGGCACTGGGCTACCAGATCTCACCATGCAACTCCCGGCACTCCTCACCCTCTGCCTGGGCCTCTGGGCTGGGCTCAGCGCTGCTGTCATCCCAGGTGGGGACAGGGATGGGGACGGGTGCCCAGCTGGCTGCAGTGGGTGCCCCGGGAAACGGGGCACCAGCCTGGCTGGTCACAGGGAGGGTTTGGGGAGAGGAGGAGGGGCTGCCTGGCTCTGCAAGAGTTAGTGGGGTTTACCCCGTTTTCTGGGGACTTTGAGCCAGTTTTCCCCTCTGGGGTCAGGTTTCTGCTTGCTTCTGGGCTGGGGGTGCTGGGGAAAGTGTCTGTAACCTCCCACCTCCATGGATGTAACCCCATCCCACCTGTGAGATAATGCCCCCTAACATGTCCCTTTTTGCTGCTCCCTCCTTCTCTGCCCCAGGACCCCCAGGCAGGGTGGTGGATACAAGCCCATGTGGCCTTTCCCCACGCCAAGCAGTGCCCTGACTCGCTCGGTCCATGTCAGCAAAAACCCCAGCACGGGGATGCCCAGGGAGCAGGTACCCCTGGGATGCAGGTGCCCCAGGGATGCGGGTACCCCAGGGATGTGGGTAGCCCAGGGATGTGGGTGCTGGTGAGCTGGAACTGACGGGTGCTGCCCTGTCGCAGTGGAGGAGGAGAAGCCATCCTTCTGGAACAAGCAGGCAGCTGCAGCCATCGAGGCCTCCTTCAAGATCCAGCCCAGGATAAGCCAAGCCAAAAACCTCATCCTCTTCCTTGGGGACGGTGAGTCCCGCTGGTACACCCGGTAGCCAGGCTGGCATCACTGCTGCCCCACAGAGTTGGGTGCAGGGAAGACACCCAGTCTTGAGGACAACCAAGACCTTCTCTCCTTACCCAGGCTTTGGGGTCCCCACCATCACAGCCACTCGCATCCTAAAGGCGCAGCAGCAGGGGAAGCTGGGCCCTGAGACCCCCCTCGCCCTGGATGCTTTCCCCTATGTGGCTCTCTCCAAGGTAAATCCCTGCCACGCAGGGCATGGGGCCAGGGTGATGCTGGGCATGGGGCCAGGGTGATGCGCAGGGGGCTGCTGGCACAGAAGCACCCTGGGGATGCGTGTACCGGTTGCACAGCATCCCT